GGCCACATACTGTATTGATGAGGTTATGGAAAAGGGAGCACTTTCACACATTGCTAGTTTCAGGGAAAGAACCTTTGATGGGGGGAACTGGGCAATAGCAAAGTTACATGTGCTGCTATAAAAATTTAGCCCAAAGGTATACTGGCAAAACTATGAAAAGGCATATGCACACTGCTATTCATGGTAGCATTATTTACAATGGTAAACCCCTGAAAACAACCTAAATGTCTATCAACAGAGAACTGGTTGAATAAATTATAGTATATTCACTTAGTGAAGTGAGGTGACTATCTTCATAGTTTGTCAACCCAGGACACAGCCACATTAGGAAAAAAGATACATAATAAATATACACATACATATTAAACATAAATTTATGAAAATAGATATTTGAAAGTATATATTCTGCATTCAATTTTCTGTTACTTAGTGTTGTAGTCTAAACAATCAGACTAGTTAACAGTGGTGATTAGTAGTAACTAAAAGTATGAACAACAAATTAATGTGTGAGAAAAATATAACTAGAAATATTACATAGAGGATACTTATACATGATCTCCTAACACAGAAGTTTTTTATAACTCTTTATTACTGTATATAAAGATACACAAAATGTAAGACTTTTTAAAGAAGAATGTAAATATGATAGAACTACCTAAATTGATATTCTTGTTGTTGTTCAGTCACTAAGTCATATCCAACTCTTTGCAATCCTATGGACTGTAGCCCGTCAGGCTCCTCTGTTCATGGAATTTTCCAGGCATATACACTGGAATAGGGGGCATTTCCTTCTCCACAGGATCTTCCTGACTCAGGAATCAAACCTTCATCTCCTGCATTGGCAGGCAGATTCTTTACCACTGAGCCACCAGGGAAGCTCAAACTGATATTATCTATACTTAATAAAATATGATGCCATGTTTCTTTTTGTCATAGAAACATGGTGATGCAGTAGGATATCATTATTTCTACTTCCTTTTCTTCTTCTTTTTTTTTCTTTTTTCTTTAAGAGACATCAATGGTTAAATGGATGGTGGGAATCTTACATGTGTGAAACAAGGTCCTGGAACACACCTCACTGTGTGCGGCTGATGGCTGGAGGACACAGTGGCAGTCTTCGTTAGGCTCTATTTCCTTTTCAGAAAGCATTGCTTTAAACTGCCTATAGCCTTTCACTTCAGTTCAGTTCAGTCGCTCAGTTGTGTCCGACTCTTTGCGACCCCATGAACTGCAGCACGCCAGGCCTCCCTGTCCATCACCAACTCCCAGAGTCCACCCAAACCCATTCCATTGAGTCAGTGTTGCCATTAAACCATCTCATCCTCTGTCGTCCCCTTCTCCTCCTGCCCTCAATCTTTCCCAAAATCAGGGTCTTTTCAAATGAGTCAGCTCTTCACATCAGGTGGCCAAAGTATTGGAGTTGCAGCTTCAGCTTCAGGCCTTCCAATGAACACCCAGGACTGATCTCTTTTAGGATGGACTGGTTGGATCTCCTTGCAGTCCAAGGGACTCTCAAGAGTCTTTTCCAACAACAGAGTTCAAAAGCATCAATTCTGTGGTGCTCAGCTTTCTTTATAGTCCAACTCTCACACCCACACATGACCACTGGAAAAACCACAGCCTTGACTAGACGGACCTTTGCTGACAAAGTAATGTCTCTGCTTTTTAATATGCTGCCTAGGTTGGTCATAACTTTCCTTCCAAGGAGTAAAGGTCTTTAATTGCATGGCTGCAATCACCATCTGCAGTGATTTTGGAGCCCAGAAAAATAAAGTCTGACACTGTGTTCACTGTTTCCCCATCTATTTCCCATGAAGTGTTGGGAAGGATGCTATGATCTTAGTTTTCTGAATGTTGAGCTTTAAGCCAACTTTTTCACTCTCCTCTTTCACCTTAATCAAGAGGCTCTTTTCTTCTTCACTTTCTGCCATAAGGGTGGTGTCATCTGCATATCTGAGATTATTGATATTTCTCCCGGCAATCTTGATTCCAGTCTGTGCTTCCTCCAGCCCAGCGTTTCTCATGATGTCCTCTGTATATAAGTTAAATAAGCAGGATGGAAAATTCTGAAAGAGATGGTTATACCAGACCACCTGACCTGCCTCTTGAGAAACCTGTATGCAGGTCAGAAGGCAACAGTTAGAACTGGACATGGAACAACAGACTGGTTCCAAATAGGAAAAGTTGGCTTAAAACTCAATGTTCAGAAATCTAAGACCATAGCATCCTTCCCAGACTTTATTTTTCTGGGCTCCAAAATCGCAGCAGGGTTCATGGGATGGCAAAGAGTTGGACACGACTGAGTGACTGAACTGAACTGAACTGTAAAGATCATCAGACATTTTTGGAGAAACAACATAAATTTCTGTTTTATTGTAATTCTTTTCTATATTCTCATCCTCAGTGTATTTAGTGAGTACCCACTATATGTCAACCACTGCTTTTAATGGTAGGGATACAACTTTGTTCAAAATAGGGAAAGCCCCTGCTCTTATGAAATATTATTCTATATGAGACACAAAGATGTATTTTTTTGTTTTTAATAAAATCGACTTCATTGAGGCTTGGTTTGCAGAGTAAAATGCACACGTTGTAAGTGTGTACTTCCGTGAGCTTTACAAGTGAATTCAGCCATTTAACCACTGTCATAATCAAGATACAGAATGTTTCTAACATCTCAAATCACCTAGCCCTATTCCAATTAATTCCTCCTTGATACCCACCTCCACTCCTGGTGCTCACTGTTCTGTTTTGTCACGATAGATTACAGGTCTTTTCTAGAATTTCATATAAATGCAATCATACTGTGTTGCTCATAGTCTGATATCCTTTGCTCAGAATAATGTTTTACGAGATTCATCTATCTGCATGTCAAGTAGTCATCCTTGTTTGTCGCTAATTACTATTCATTACATGGATAATTACATATCATTGTATGGGTACGCCACAATTTGTTTATCCATTAATCAGTTGAAGAACATTGAGGTTGCTTCCAGTTTTGGGTCATTAAAAATAAAGCTATGAAAATTAATGTACAAAATTTTGCATGGGCACATTTTCATTCCTAATTAAATACCTAGAAGTGGAATTGCTGGATCATGTAAATACATGATTAATTTTATAGTAAAAGATAGACTGCTGATCAAAATTTTTGTACCATTTGGGATTCCCATCAGCAATATATGAGAGGTCCTGCTGATCCAAGTTGTCAACATTTGTATCATATTTTAAATTTCGGCCATCTTAACGGCTGCCTGTGTGTGTGCTCAGTCTTGTCCGACTCTGCAAACCCATGGACTGTAGGCCGCCAGGCTTCTCTCTCCATGAATTTCCCAGACAGGAATATTGGAGTAGGATGCCATTTTGTCCTACAGGGGATATTCCCCAGCTAGGGATCAAACTCCCAAATCCTGCAATGGCAGGAGGATATCACTGAGCCATCTGGGATTACCTCTTAATGTCTATTAGTGGTAAGGTTGTGTTTTGTTTCCTACCCGTTCTAGTCACTAATGTAACCCCACTTTAAAACTGATCATTTTATTAATTTTAGGAAAATGCTAAACCAAAGGTCTAAAAGAAAAAAAACAGCTTGATTCTGCTGTATTTTGTTTCCATTTTTCCTCTCGAAATTCCCAGACTTTCTAGGAAACATAAAACCGGTGTCAAGCAGCAGAGCTGGGGTCCTCATTCAAGGACCCAACCTCTAGGATCTCCGCACACTTCCATCCTTTCCTCACTCCCTCCTGTCACCTTTCTAAGAATTTCCCAGGTAGTCGTGCGGGGTGAGGAGGGGCGGGCTCTGGGGCCCCCAGGCTCCGCCCCTTGCTAGGACCCACCCATTACCCCGGATGAGGCCGCAGGGTGGAGAAGGAATGTAGCTTCCGGTCTCGCGATCTGCTGTAATCCCGCGAGAAGAGAAGATGGCCGCCAACGGCCGAATGTTGGCGGTGGCGAGGAAGGGGGTGTGGCCGAGGGGCGAGAAGTCCTCAGGCGTGAGCGAGAGGAGGCGGGGTCGCGCGCACCAGGCGTGCGCATGCGCGCACCAGGCCGGTCAGGCTGGGCGGATCGGGGAGGGGGCGCCGGTGGCGGCCGAGGAGGCGTCGTTATTTCCGCGGTTTGGACGGTGCGTGGCTGCGCGGGTGGCCACGAGAGAAGTAGGTAGGGACCGCGGTGCGGAGCCATTGAGACTTCCTCCCGTGCATTAGAGCCACAGCCCCCCGCGCGTGTGGCGGACCCTGGGGAGGCCAGGTCACCCTGCGGCCCCGGCCCTCCCGCCGCGCTTCAGGTAGGAGCTTCGGGCTTACTCGTGCCCGCTCCCCGGCGAGGCCCTGCCCTTAGCTGGTGTTACCCGGGCGACGACCTGGTACCGGGCGTGCCCGTCCTCGCGCGCGACGCCAGCCCTGTCCTTGCTTCCGTGCCCGTGGAGCCGGGGCCCGGCCGGGCTGACCTGTTTGGCGCGGGTCCCCTCTTCAGGTGTTCCCCCGCCCTGGGCCGGCGGTACGCCTCCTCACGGAATGCCCCCACCCCCACCCCCCCGTACAGGGTGTGCGGGGGTCCAGCTGGATCGGGAGAGGCTTCTCCCTGTGAGCTCCGGGCAGGTGAGGGACCATCTTGACTTGAGTAGTTGCTGCATGGGGTCTTGGACTTCGAGAGGGGACCTTGAAGAGTGCCAGTGTTAAAAGTTGGAAGCTCTGGAGTTGGTTCTTTTGGGGTCGCTGGTGGGATGGTTTGTGATTTTACTTCTCAAATAGGCACACTGATCATGAGTCCTGGTAGGTGATGGGCTATTTATTATTAAATGAGCAGCCGCAGTGTTAATTAACGTGAGATTTAATTGCATTAAGGTAGTTTTTCACAGAGCTGTCCTCAAACTCAGAAGATCTCTGCTTCAACAGTTTAGTAAGAGTTTCATCCAGGACTTAAACACACATGGTTTGCAAATATTCTTGCCCTGAAAGCTGCATCCTCTCTCTTACGATAATATTAATTTTATAGGCGTAATGGTTATGAAAGCTTCTGTAGAAGATGATGATTCAGGATGGGAGCTTGGTATACCAGAAAAGATGGAAAAAAGCAATACAAACTGGGTAGACATAACCCAAGATTTTGAAGAAGCTTGTCGAGGTGAGTTTGAATGTTTGAATTAGAAGTTCAAAATTTGGGAAAGGGTATAATAAAAATGTGGATTGTGATCTTTAAACTATCTCAATAAATGGGAAAAAAATCAACATGTAAGTGTGGTTTATTGAGTTACCACACTTACCCATTCTCTATCCTCTGATTTTAACTTTCATTTAAAACCAGTCTTTATAGATATTGCATTAAATACAGATGTTGAGGCAGTTTCTTCTTAAGATTTTCTAACTTTAACAGGTTAGAGTGCACATAGCAATAATTTCAAATTGGAAATACGAATTCTGTCACCCTAAAGACAGGAGTATTATTGTATATTTGAGCTTTGAAAATAATTGGATCATGTCATTCCCTGCATGAGATCCTCCAGTGGCTTCCTGTTGCATGTAGAATAAAATTCACACTTCTTCCCTACAGCCTATATGATCTGGTGCCTGCCTTAGACTTTTTGTACCACTGCTCCACTAGGCTCATTATGTTTAGTCAAGAGGTCCTTATCTCATTAAGTACACCAAGATTGTGTCTGCAGGTCTTCAGGTAGCTGGCTGCTTCCTGACTACTTAAAGTTACCATTCCAGTGAGCTCTCAAAACAGCCAACCTAAGCAGATTTATCCCCTTATTCTCCTTTGTCCAACTCCACCCCATTTGAATCCCAGTTTATTTTCTTTGTAGTACTTATCTGCTGTGAGAAACTATCATTTTCAATTACTGTTTACTATTAGCCTCACCCACTGAAATAATAAGGTCTGTGAGTACAGAAATAATCCTAGTACACAGAACAGTGCCTGGCACTTAGGAAGTTCAGTAAATGCTTGTGTATAAATGACTGGAGCAGAAAAAGCTTTGGAGAGGGAGAGAAGGAAAATAAAGAGAAAAGAACAAATGGTAGAGGGCTTGAACTTTAAGAGAGGATGGGGGATGGGCTCAAGAACATGTAGAGAAATTAAAATTAACTTCAGGAAAAGAATGAATGATAAGATGGTGAAGATACAGGTGTGTTTCTAAGTGGGTGGGGAGGAGTGGTAGAGGGATCACACATGATGGCTTCTATTTTCTTAGTGAACAGAAGTTGGGCTTTTAGTGACGGTGGTGTGTATTTAGAATAGTGCTCTTAACAAGAGGAGTAAAGACTTGGAACTGCAGATGGAAAGGGAGCCAGCTGAGTGTAATCACAGGGATAAATCATGTGCTTACTCTTTGACTGTTTTGAAATACATGTCCAGTTAAAGTACACCTAAGTGAGATAGTGGAAAAAACATTAGGCTGAGAGTTGGGTGAATGCCCATATATGTTTGTCTAAGGGAGAGAGAAATGTAAATTAAAATGTAGCTTTTGTGCTCAGTGTTCTTCGACTAGTAAGTGGATCACACCTATAATCTTATGCTGATTTTAAGTGATGTGTATTAGAGAACTAACATGAACCTAAATAAGAAAGGTTCTATGAAGTAAATATGGCCTGAGTTACTTCCTGGTGAATCAGACGGTAAAGCATCTACCTGCAGTGCGGGAGACCCGGGTTCGATCCCTGGGTTGGGAAGATCCTCTGGAGAAGGAAATGGCAACCCTCTAGTACTCTTGCCTGGAAAATTCCATGGACTGAGGATCCTGGTAGGCTTCAGTCCATGGGGTTGCAAAGAGTTGGACACAACTGAGTGACTTTACTTTCACATGGCCTGAGCTGGGCTGTGAAGTAGTGGTCAAGATTCTGTTAAGTGAATGTGAGGGAATTACTCTAAACTGAGATTGTTATGTTTAAGGAACAGTGAATAACTGCTTCTTCTGGGAAGGAACCTTGAGTAGGACATGTGGTTTAATACCTGCTTCAGTGTAGATTGAGAGAGGGTGGCATTTTATCTTGTTGTCAGCATCAGACTATCCTATTAATCCCCCCATAAGTAGCCCTTGTACTGTTTCAGGTGGCTCAAATGAGAGGTATACTTCTTGAAACTAAAAAGTTGACATAGCATTAAACTTTTGTATGATTTTAAGACTAAAGGCTGTAAGCAGTCTTAAGCCCATGGTATTAAGAATTTGTTTAACTGTTGCAGTGCTTTCTCTTTGGTAACAGTGTGATGGCATTTAGTTAGACTTCTGTGATTCAGGGGGCGGTGGGGAGTATAAAATACTATAAAATACCCTGTCTACTGATGACAGCATTTTTTTTTTATGTTGATTTTTATGTTAATTTATTTTTTTTTTCCATTTTTATTAGTTGGAGGCTAATTACTTTACAACATTGCAGTGGTTTTTGTCATACATTGAAATGAATTAGCCATGGATTTACATGTATTCCCCTGATGACAGCATTTTTCATGCACATTTTTACTTATTCTTTTAGTGGCTCTTTAAAATCCTCAAATTCTAACTTTAATTATTTCTTTTATTTCCTGTTGGTCAGCTGGCACACATTCCTACCGCATTTCCTATAATTGACATTGAGTCTTTTTTTTTCTTTTCCAAAGTATTTTGAATGTATAGTGCCATCACTATTATTTTATGTAATATATGTAATGTATCATTCGTCTAAATAACACCTCTGAGCTTTGCTTCTCTGGGAAATCTTGCCTAATTCAAACCATCTCATTTTGTTGTTACCTGTAAAGCCTTTGCTCTTTATTTCCATTTTGTTGTCTATATTTAGGCACTTTCTGAATTACAAAGTCACAACTTAAAATTTCACTTTAACATAGAGCTCATAAAAAGTACACTGCTGCTGCAGCTTCTGACTGCAAGATTCCCTTCCACACTCGTAATGGACAGCCAACAACCTCTCCTGGAATGATGACACCATCATGTGTCTAGAGCTCAGAGATAATCCAGAGTCAGCTATCATAACTTTCATTCTTTTTTGGGGGGGGGTTGCTGCCTGCAGCTTGTGAGATCTTAGTTCTCAGATCAGGGATTGAACCCTGGGCCCCTTGCATTGAAAGCTTACAGTCTTAACTAGTGACTACCAGGAAGCCCTACTTTCATTCTTTTTAAACTCTAGTTTAGGAGATACGAGTCCATCCGCTCACTTCTTTTCTTTTCTTTTTGATGACTTAGTTCATTCTGCCTTCATCAATCTTTATAACAGATTTCACTGTTTAGGTTGGCTTCCCTAGTGTCTCAGATGGTAAAAAATCTGCCTGCTATGCAGGATACCTATGTTTGATCTCTGGGTTGGGAAGATCCTCTTGAGAAGTAAATGGCAACATACTGCAGTATTTTTGCCTGGAGAATTCCATGGACGGGGAATCTGGCAGGCTACAGTCAATGGGGTCATGAAGAGTTGGACACAACTGAACAACTTAACACTTTTACTTTCATCACTATTTAGGACTCCCCTTATCCATCCAGTTTCTTTAGGTCTTGCCTAGTACTTTCAGAAAACTTTTGTTGTTTTCTCTTCCCTCATTTAAAATCTAGGATGCTTTGGATGGGCGGGGAGTTTGGGGGAGAGTGGATACATGTATGTTTGTGGCTGAGTCCCTTCACTGTTCACCTGAAACTATCACGACGTTGTTAATTGTCTACACCCCAATGCAAAATGTTAAAAGAAAAAATCTAGGCTGCTTAAGCCTCTTACTTCTCTTCCTTTCTGTTCTGTCTTCTCTTACCCAGAACAATATGTTTGTTTTTAAGAGTAAATGATATTCTAAGGCCTTGTTTCTTCATACCAGAGACTATCTGGATCTTGTACTTAAAAGTTTGAGACCCTGTGTTGTATGTGAGTGATTGCCTGGAACCAGCAGAATTATGAACACAGGCACTGGCACTGTAGCAATACTTGATTATGTTGTCAGCTGTTCGGTTTGGAATTTGTTTGTGTAATCTTTTAAACATCACAGCAAACTGGAAAATTCTGAAAGAAATGGGAATCCAGACTACCTTACCTGCCTTCACAGAAACCTGTTTACAGGTCAATAAGCAACAGTTAGAACTGGACATGGAACAACAGACTGGTTCAAAATTGGGAAAGGAGTACATCAAGGCTGTATGTTGTCACCTTGCTTATTTAACTTACATGCAGATTGCATCATGCGAAATATCGGACTGGATGAAGTGTAAACTAGTATCACGATTGCAAGGAGAAATACCAGTAGCCTCAGATAGGCAGATGGCACCACCCTTATGGCCGAAAGTGAAGAAGAACTAAAGAGCCTCTTAATGAAAGTTAAAAAGAGGAGAGTGAAAAAGTTGGCTTAAAACTCAACATTGAAAAAACTAAGGTCATAGAATCCGGTCCATCACTTCATGGCAAATAGATGGGGAAGCAATGAAAACAGTGCAGATGGTCACTGCAGCCATGAAATTAAAAGATGCTCCTTGGAAGAAAAGCTATAACCAACTTAGACAGCATATTAAAAAACAGAGACATTACTTTGCCAACAAAGGTCTGTGTAGTCAAAACTATGGTTTTTCCAATAGCCGTGTATGGATGTGAGAGTTGAGCCATAAAGAAAGCTGAGTGCCAAAGAATTGATGCTTTTGAACTGTTGTCTTGGAGAAGACTTCTGAGAGTCCCCTGGACTGCAAGGAGATCCAACCAGTCAATCCTAAAGGAAATTAGTCTTGAATATTCATTGGAAGGACTGATGCTGAAGCTCCAATACTTTAGCCACCTGATTTGAAGAACTGACTCATTGGAAAAGTCCCTGATGCTGGGAAAGGTAGAAGGCAGAAAAGAACAACAGGATGAGATGGTTGGATGGTATGTCACGACCTGGACATGAGTTTGAGCAAGCTCCAGGAGTTGGTGATGGATAGGGAAGCCTTGTGTGCTGCAGTCCATGGGGTTGCAGAGTCAGACACGACTAAGTAACTGAACTGATTATTTTAAAAAGATTGTCATTGAACTGATTGCATAGCATTTAACAATTATTAGAAGTATGGATTTTTGATAAAAATAAAACTTTAATGGACTTTCACTCCACCCTCTCAATTCATGAACCCTAGTTTTAGAATCATTATTCTGTGTTTGCTGCTTGTTGCAACCATTTTATTCTAG